GTATTTAAATAAACCTGTTAAAATTAAAAAAAAGAATCTTTAAGCCTTAAATGTTATAATAAATTACTATTTCATGAAACAAAAAATCAAAACTTATCATTATTCTTATTGATAAAAGATAAAAGTTCATAATATAAATCTGATCTCTATTAAATATTTTATTTTCGATCAAGCATATATATCTAATTATTTTCCTTAATTTAATGAATTTTAAGTGTTCATATCGAATTGATCTCATGTTTGGTATTTAATATCAATTAAAAATAAATCAAAGTATAGCATGTTAAAGATTTTTATTTTTTTCTGATAAATGGGAGTAATTCTAAGCCTTAAAGGCTCTAATTTACTCTTATTAAAAAGATAAAATAACAGCATAATAATAAATCAAATTAATTTCAATTTTATTTAATATCTTATACTTTAGTAAGATATTATTATTAATTTTATTAAAACTTCATTTATTTGAGATTTTGATGGAATGCTTTTCACCATCATCAGTGAATGTTGGAAAAAATTTCAGATTGTAAAAATATGCAAAGATTCTGTTCTAAAATACAAGATTAATCTTTATTTCCACATAATCGAAGAATGGAAGACCCTAAGCATTTGGTAGCCCAACCATAATTTTATCCATAGATTTTTAATCTTGGAAAGTTTCAGAAATTAAACAATTATTGATGACTTGAACTTAATATGATATAATATTCAAGATACACAAGGAAACTATCTCTTATACCTTGCATCCATGATTGAAAGCTTTTAGATCCCACATCCTGGTAAATTTTTAAGCTTCCCTCTGGTCAAACCCGTTCATCCAATCTCATCAGGTCTCAGATAAAGCACAACAATCAAGATTATTGTTTTTATTTAAAAATTAAGATACTAATAAAGTCATAAAATCAAAAAAGCTGTTTTAAAACTTCCTTTTGAAAAAAAGTTATTTTTTAAATCATAATTAATATTTTTACTTTTAAATCTAAAATTAAAATATTACTTAAACTAAATTGGTTATTATTATTTTGTTAATTGATGAATATTTAATAATCGAAAACTTTATACTCCATTAGTTTATATTTTATAAAAAACAGGAATAGAAACTTAATCTTAATGATAATAAATTGCACTTTTGAATTCCTAAGATTATTTATAGAGGGGCTGAACTAATGAATTTTAAAGCAATAATTAGATTAAAACTAAATTCTAAAAACTAACAGATTAGATAGTAATATAATATAATTTAACACTTTATTAATCTTTTATTTATCTAAACAATAATTAAAAATATTCTAGATATTTAATGACTACATAAACACTATTTTAGATATAGTTCTTTCAAAATAATTGTTTTTGCTTTATACAATATCTTTTTTTTGAAAAGATTGACTATTGAAATGATTTTTGTGATTTTAGTTACGTCTAAAAATGTTTCAAGACTTATAATATTAGCGAAAGAGAAAATTCAGATAAAAATAATAAAATAAGATAATATTAACTTAATAAATTGATATTTATTATAATAATTATCTCATTGTTCTTTTAATTTCCTTATTTACATTTCATTTGATGTCTAATCCCAATTAATCATATATTCTCCATCATCACTCAATTATCCATATATGTAATTTGTTCCAAATTAAATAGATTACTCAACTTTAAATTCAGCATTTTCTGTAAATCTTATTAAAATGTACATATTTATCATGCTTATTAACAACTAATTATTTTTATTGAATAAATTATTATGGAAATAATACACCACCTTCCTTTCCTTAATTTATTGTAATATCTTTTGATTTAGTGAACTATTTACTTAAACTATTCATCTAATAAACATACATCAAATTGCCATTTTCAGGTTAAAATGCGAATAGATTATCGTTGATAAAACATAATCGATATCCTTTACAATCAACTTGTATTTTTTATTTTACATTCCAATATTTATTAGGTTCTGATTACTCTATTACTAATATCAATATATCATATCCACAAGATATAACTTGCATTTGTTAGTCATTTAAACTTAATTGATAGACCTAACTACTATGATCTGTAATAGTTTATTAACAGATCCATTCATTCTTTTTAAACCAAAACTTAATAGTCTTATCATTACTACTGGATATAAATAGATCTTCATTATTATTTAAAATTAAGCATCTAATCCAATTACTATGACCTTTAATAGTTTATGAACAAATCCATTAATTATTATGATTATTATATTATCAAATCAAAATAGATCCACAATCTCCAGAAATCAATTAATTTGATTATTTTATAAAATTTAAAGTAATCACTTCACTTTAATGTTAACCTATAACTTGATTTAATTTCAACATTCCTCATTTGAATTCATATAATTTAATTAGTTTCTTACACACAGCCGCTAAAATTGAACAATCTTTATTAATAGCAACTGCCCAAAAATATTCCTATTATTTAATAAAATTAGCTTAAATTATTTAATAAGTAAATGGTTTAATATTGACTTATGATGGAGATTTCATTTCATTTTATTATTATTTTCCTTTAATATCTAATGGCAAATTTTCTTCCTTCTAAGCTTTCCATTCAATAAAATTTTTTCCTTATATAATTTATACTAATTCTCTAAATCAGTATCTGACAAATCTGTAGGATTGAAATTGTTGTTCATGATTTTCAAATATGATATATCCTGCATCTCATATATTTTTTGGATTAATTCCTAGAACTGTTGCCAAGTATTCTTCAGCATGCTTTCAGTTTGAGAGAGAATCATTAAAAAATTCTTTCTTTATTAGGTGAATTCAGAAGTTTGATCAATCCTAGATTCTTTTAATTACTTTATAACCATATCTTGAAATCTATGAGTCGGAATTATATATTTAATATCAACTCCGTGTTAATATTGGCAATCAATCCAAAGTTTCCTTTAGCATTAACATTAGTGAAGGGCAATACATATGGATGTTATTGGAAATTGAATATGGCGAGTGCATTTCATTTATTTATTGATTATATATTACTTTCCTTTAATTTTTATATTACAAATCAAAAAAGTATCTTAAAGATGAGGACCAGAATTTGATCAGATTTAGAATTTTTTGTGGTTGGCATAAAATTGAAGAGTGGGAAATTAATAAGTTTATTCATAGCTTTATTCATTTTGAATATAGAAAAATCACAATAATACTAAAACTTTATGTATTTATAATATATTCTTTTGATTTTATATATTTAAATTTCTATTTTATTTTTGTTATTGATAATTCTCATAAAGTGAACTATCATATTTACAGTTTTGATTGGGGATCAAAGCTAAATTTATTATTCAATATCCTAAAATTACAATTTTTTCTTGAGTTTACCAAATAAATATTAATTATCTATTTAATTAATTTCTTTTAGGTCTGCTTTTCAAATCTTGATAATTGAATCCAATTATTTTTTTGATTTCGGTTCAAAAATCATTTATCACAAATTAATTTTTCAAGCATAATTAATTTAAAAAATACTAATAATTATATTTTTTCATTAAATGATTAGAAGAATTAATATAAAATCAAATAATTATTATTTGTAAGAAATAATGGTTTAGTTAGAATAGATGCTTAGTATAAGGATATAGGTGTTATTTAATTTAAAACAAATTAATAAATTATGTTATATTTCTTAAAAAATGAATCATTAGAATAACTAATTTTGATGAGACTTAATATGATTAGTTAAATTTAAACGTGTTTAATAATTTTCTGTTTTATTTGAAACTATTTATTTTTATTTGATTTATTTTTAAATAGCTCAAAAACTAACTATTATATTCCTAAAAACAAAAAAAGTTTGTTAGATTTAGTTACAATGATAACAAAAAAATAGGAAATCTAATCAAACTATTTGTAATAGCAATTTTTTGTATAACTGAATACATTAATTTAAATCGTTATCCATCATTATCTCCAATAATTATATTCTTATTTTTGAATGAAACGATAAATCCCATGATAACAGTGATCTAATTTATTGATTTTTTTATATATCTAAGATTATAATTTTTTAGATATTTCGAAATTTTAGAAAAATTAGTGATTAAAAAGATTTTGATTAATTGTTTATAATTTTTAGTAAAATTAAATTAATGTTATAAAATAAAACTCATTCAATTACTCTTCCCTTTATTTGATGTCACCATGAGCATGTATCAAATATCAAAAAATTTCTCATTA